TATTATTCACATCATTTCCATCTATTTAAATCTTACATTTTTTTTTGATAAATTAACAAAAAAAGATACACCAAAAAGATAAAAAAAGAAGAATATAGCAAAATATGTAGGCCTTTCAATAATACTTGAAATTCACAACCTGATCCAATTATCACATATTTGGATGAGGTGTTTATGTAACCAGACTTGGATTTTACAATATGCATTCGATTTATAATAAAAAAATACATATTTATAAAAATTTGTGGTGGGTGACGGTACCATTCCTAGAATCCTAGCCGGTGACGATTTGAATGGTTCGACTGGTCAAGTCAACAACAAGTTGAAAACATTGGAAATAACCATGAGCGATGAGGGAAAACCTCTTTTTTGTCTCTTTGCTAGCTTTGTTTTCTCGAACATGAATTTTTTTAATTAACACATTTCAATTATTATTTCAAGTGAATTGTATTGACCTCTATATTTTGGGATGTGAAGCTTAGGCTCGGTGGTTGAGAAATAACTTACCCTTCCCCAAATGGATAATAAGTTACATTTTCAATGAACGAAAAAGAAATAAAAACTAAATGCCATTGTAAAAATATCATGAATATGTTATCAAGGCGACAGAAAAATAAATTATGATAAAAAACGACAGATAAGTGTCTATAGGTATTCAACTTAATACTAATTGGACATTTTTTTTTTCAATTGTATTTTTTCTATAATGCATTAATGCATTTGAAAACACAAGTAAAAATAGCAATTTAACCCGCCCCTATTGGGGCTTCGACTTGCTCCACCTTCATTAAGGCGATTTATTTTTTATTTTTTATCATTGATGGTTTAGGGCAGGTTTTGGGTTTCCTTGAAACCCAAACTTTAGTGACTGGGGATAATGTGGGGTGGTATTTGTTTAGCCCACCGCACCCCAATAAACAATGTATATGATATATTATTTTATATTATGTTTTATATACTATATATAAATATTATAATATAATACCTATTATATAATATTTGATACTATGCATTGTATAAAACTTATTTTATACAATAGATATATTGTATAATCAACCCTAATTAGCAATTTAACATTATTAAAATACAATTTCAAGGAAAATCAATACAACTTTATCAAACAATACATACGACTAAAATAATGTTTACAAATGAATTTAATCTGCTTTAACCCAAATAGAAATGAAATAAGACTCGTTTTAACTCAAATTCTTACAACAAATTGCATGCATTACATAGGTCCTAACTAGTATATAGATATGTGTGTGTGTTTTATGAGGAAAAAAGTATTTAAGTGAGGGATGAACGTTTTGGTTATTTATTATAGGAGATAGGACTCTTATTGGGTTAATAGAGAGGAGAGAAAATGAAATTAATATAGTTTTTTTTGGGTATTCGGTGCTATGCACCATTAATAATTTCCCCTGGACCCTTTCCCCCTTTCCCAATTTGGTTTGCGTTTATGTTTTAATGCTTTTGTCAAGGTTGCCAGTTTACAGAAATGTTGTTGGAGTGCTAAAGTACTCACAATTTGATGGAACTATTTATAAATGATACCTCAACTTTGTATATGATGTTATGAAAAGATATGATGGCCGTGAGATACATAATGATTAAATTAATTAATTACTTAATGTAGTTAATTTGTCCCTTAATTCAATTAACTTAGATTAACATTACTTAATTAACTTATATTAGTGTATTTAATTTTATTAATTTTAATAAAAGTAAGATTAAAGGTTAATTACTAAAAATTAACTTATGTTTAAATTAGTTAAACTTCTTTGTAGGTTGAAATCATATCTAAGTATGTAATGGCCAATGTGCAAAACGACTCATGCTTTGCTTAGAGTCCACCTAATGTTTTCTGAAACAATTGTGGATCAAAGATAAATTGATTAGTTGTGATGAAATTTGTTTCATCATTATGTCTAATTTATTAATTTTACAAATTGGATATCAAGTCTCTCTCTCATGTTTAATGTTTAATTCTACTCTCCCCATTTATAGTTAATTTTGTATAATTGATCAATCTAACTTGAATTGGATTCAAACCGATGACTTGACCCATTTGGGTTTGTCACATGCACGGTCCCGACTGATTATCAATAAGATGAATAAAAAATGACTTAAGTATTGTATTGCACCCAAAACTCTTAATTTAATTGAGTTTCTTCGTAGGTACTTAACTATTCGAGTTAGGCTCGTTGACATAGCCTTAGGTTTGAGTTCGATTCGAGTTAGAGATTTAAGTTCGAGTTTGATTTGGTTTAAAGTTTGCAACTTCGAGCCCGGTTTGGCTTGAGCTCAACTACAAGTCAATTTTTTTTTCTAAAAAATAAAAATTATACATATAAAAATATTTTTTATTTTGCATACAACAAAATAAGAATTATAAAAATTATTCATTATTATACATATAAAAATAAAAAAGTATACATATAAAAAAGTGTTTTTATTTTACATATAAAAAATATGAATTATAAAAATTATTTACTATTATACAAAAAATAAAAAATATTATATAAAAATATTATTATATATAATAAAAATTATTTATTTTGTATATATTTATATATTTATATGCATGTATGTATGTATATAGTAAAAAATTATTTATTTATTATACTAGGCTTGTAAGCCTCATGAGTCGAGGAGCTTCACTACGCTCGAGCTTGGCTCGATTAGCAAATGAGCCTATGTATCAAGCTCATGCTCTACTCGAAGCTCGAGTTAAACCGAGCCGAGTCAAGATTTTCACGAGTCGAGCTCAAATAGTTCATAAAAAACTTGGCTAGTGGCCACCCCTAGTAGAGACGTAGAGTCCTGAAAACATATCACTCTTAAATAGGGCTATAAAATATAAAGTCGATCAGGTCATATACTATCATTTTTTTATTACAATTATAATCGAATCAGATATCCAATAAGATATTTGAATTCGAATTATACTCTTAAAAATCTGACAGATTCTTATTGTATCCATATCGATCGAATTTCTTATCACACCATATCAAATATCGCCTTTGCCAAATTGGATCTAATCCATTTACAACCCTAATCCTAAATGTTTAGTTTATGGACATTTATATCAGGGCCTTGGCTTCTTCAAACTGTCCATGGAACTCAGAAGAGAAAGAGAGCCATGCAAGTATTTGAACGGAGGAACATTGGACACAAACTAAGGCTGTTTTGGTTACAGTGCAAACAAATTTGTACTGATGCAAAATTATGGTAGTGCAAATCATTTGAGTGTAAATTATGGTTTACTTTTATTTCAAATTTTAGCTTATTTTGTTTGATTTCAGTGCAAATGAAGTAAATTAAGAATAAAGTGAAACCCAAGACAAAGTTAAACGATAATTTGCAATTTTGTTCATTTGCACTCCCATGTATTTGTACCAGTGCAAATAAAATTGCACTGCAACCAAACGCAGCCTAATGAACAAATGTCTGGATCTTATTTGGAACACAACACATTGGGGTGTTGACACAGATGATCGGGACTCTCATCTGAACCATCTCTCGGGTGACTAGTCAATGTGTTTATTTCTTTATTTTAGGGTAAATTGCTGAAACCACTATTGTTGAAATCTCTATTGAAGTTTGGTAATTGCAATCACCTTCCTAAACTTTTTAATACAGTTGCAAGTAGATCATTTTTGTTAGAATCCTCTAGTATATAATACCTATATTATTATTATTAAGGCTGATTTTTACAGAAAAATAATATAAATTTTGAAAAATAATAGTTTAAAGTTGCAACTTTATTTTGATTGATAATAATATTAAGGGAAAATTCCCAATTAGTACTTTGTACTTTGGGCCTAGTGCCATTTTGGTCCCTAAACTTCAAAATACGACAATTCAATACCTAAACTTTCAAAATGTGCCAATCCAATACATATTGTTAACCAACCTGTTAATCAACTGTTAAGTGACATTTGAAAAGACACAAACGCCCTTCGAGTGTCATCTAATTCTCTTTATCAACCATCCAAATATTGACAAAAAATGAACAGTTCCAAATCCTTGCTTATTCTATTCAAGAAAGTTGGGGTCACGTCCCATGGGCATTGTGACTCCAACTTTCTTGAATAAAAGAGGGAAGAATTTGAGACTGTTCATTGTTTGTTAACGTTTGGATGGTTGATAAAGAGAATTAGATGACACTTGAAGGGTGTTTCTGTCTTTTTAAATGCCACTTAACGGTTGATTAATGAAATGGTTAACAATAGGTACTGGATTGACACATTTTGAAAGTTTGGGTATTGAATTGTCTTATTTTAAAGTTCAGGGACCAAAGTGGCACTAGGCCCAAATTACATGGTACTAATCGGGACTTTTCCCTAATATGATGGATAACACTGATATAAAGAGAAAATTTGAAAAAAAAAATCCATTTTGGTCAAAAGTAACTGCTTGCTAGAGGGTTCTAACAAAAGGGTCTACTTGCAATTGTGTTAAAAAATTTAGGGAGGTGATTGCAATTATTACTCAACTTCAGGGGAGGTTTCAGAAACGGTCTGAAACCTCAAGGGATGATTCAGCAATTTACCCCTTTACGTTTATTCAGAATTATACATCAACCCGGAGTTAATTCAAATCAACGTAGATCATTGGCCGGGGCCTTACTTCAACTTCTATGGTTTGTCTTGGATGACCTTACGGGATTAGAAGACAGTGATAATTAGAGCAAGACATGCATAAACACCATAGGAAAATAGAAGATAGAATCCTCCTCCTAATCAAATTGAAAGAATTAGAGTTGGAATAGAAGTAATTAAGAAAATTCTTTTATATATACATAGGGTTATTCCTCATCACTATACTTGTCTAAAAATTATTGTTTTCTCTCTTCGTATCATCTTTCTTGGTTTTCCCTTTGGCGAAAGATAATGGCAGTCCTGTTTTCCCATGTTCATGCAGTACTGTTTCTGGGTCTGTTTTCATTATCTGCATGGCTGTATATTGCAGAATGTGCAAGCCCTCCAGTTCAATTGCATGTGCAAGGCAAACATGTAAAAATTCAGCCCATTCATACATATTTCTGTTTTTTTTTTTGTTGTTGTTGAATGCAATTTATATTTATAATTAATAAGAATTTTGTGTGCAGGTGATAATGGACAATGGTATTGTAAGAGTCACTCTATCAAATCCTGGGGGCGTCGTCACAGGAATAAATTATGGTGGTATCAATAACATACTAGAAGTCCGTAATAGAGAAACTAACAGAGGGTACGTTCTGATTTTTTTTTTTTATTTTTTTTTATTTTTTTATGGTTAATGAATTATATATGATCACCTTCTTTTAGTTATATAGAATTAATCAAATTGATAATTGATTGAATGGTTGGTTAATTAATTATCAGGTATTGGGACGTTGATTGGGATGAACCGGGAGGTCGTGGACAGCAATATGTGTAAGCAACTAAGCACTTCTATCAGATAGCTAGATAGATAGCTTTAATTCCTTAAGCCAATTGGATTTCTCTTAATTCATTGATCCTGCTGTGAATGCTGCAGGATACAAGCGACAGAGTTCAAAGTAATAGTGCAGAATGAGACTCGGGTGGAGGTCTCATTCTCAAGAAAATGGGAGCCCTCCTCTGGATCAGGCCTCGTACCCTTAAATATCGATAAAAGGTGAGTAGGAGTTATTAGATTTGTAATGCATTATTAAAAGGAGAACCACCTAAAGACATATCAAACACTAACAAATTTATACTTACTTTTAGATTTGTAATGCTTCGAGGATCACATGGTTTCTACACATATGCCATATTCGAGCATTTGAATGGATGGCCGGATTTTGATCTTGGTGTTGCTCGGACAGTTTTCAAGCTTAGAGGAGACAAGTAAGTTAAGTCTGTGTGGTTTTATATATGTGTGAATGTATATATGTATGTATATGTGTAATGACAATATGGGACGACAGGTTTCACTACATGGCTATCTCGGATAGCAGACAAAGGCATATGCCCTCGCAGGATGATCGATCACCACAACGAGCCGAACCCCTTGCATACAAAGAGGCCGTTCGTCTCACAAATCCCGGCGAGCCGGAATTTAGAGGGCAGGTGGACGACAAGTACCAGTATTCCTCCAACAGAGAAGACATCAGGGTTCATGGGTGGATAAGCTTCGAACCACCGGTGGGCTTCTGGGTCATCACGCCCAGCAACGAGTTCCGAACTGGTGGGCCTCTCAAGCAGGAGCTCACCTCCCACGTTGGGCCTACCTCCCTTGCTGTACTATTCTCTCTCTCTCTCTCTTGACCCACCCAATCACTATATATTTTGCTAAAAGAAAAAGAGAGTTGATGATCTGTGGATGGGATTGCCATGGCAGGTGTATATTAGTTGTCACTACATGGGAACGGATATCTTGCCCATGTTCCGAAACGGCGAGCCCTGGAAGAAAGTTTTTGGGCCCATTTTCATTTATCTCAACTCGGGCCCAGAAGGTACTAAGGCCAATTCCCTGTGGGAAGATGCAAAAGCCCAAGTATGGTTTTTCACTTTCAGTTGTCCAAAACTTGGTTGAGTTCTAAACCATTATGTAGAGTTAAATGCAATCTTCTAAGTTCTAACTCTTTTGTTGTTCAGATGAGGAATGAAGTTCAAAGTTGGCCATACAGCTTTCCAGCTTCAGAAGACTTCCCTAAATCTGCACAAAGGGGTTCTGTTATTGGTAGATTACTGGTTAGGGAAATGTATATCCTAATATCTCTCTGTCTCTCACTCTCAGATACATACACACACAAACACCCTACGTGCATGTAATTTCTAATGCCGAGATTTGCTTCATTAGGTTTATCAACAGAGAGGATATGCCCGGCAGTTCTGCATATGTTGGGTTAGCTTTACCTGGAGAAGCTGGATCTTGGCAAAAGGAAGGCAAGGTACGTCCTCTGTATGACTCTGCAGGAGTGTTTGTGCTTAATTAATCCATGAATTTTAGTCCTTAAACAATAGTGAGTACTAACTGTTCTTCGTTCTCTATATAACAATCTTTTTTCAGGGCTACCAGTTCTGGACAAAAGCTGATTCTAATGGATCTTTCTCCATTAAAAATATCAGGGCAGGAGACTATAATCTGTACGCCTGGGTCCCTGGTTTTATAGGAGAATACAAGTATCCCACAGTTATATCGGTCAGACCAGGTTAATTAATTAAAATCAACCCATTGAAGTCATGCATCTACACTTTGGATAACCATTTGATGTTTATGGGCAATGAATGTTTATTGTTTAATGAATCCAGGAGGGTATGTTGATCTGGGCACTCTTGTACATGAGCCTCCGAGAGATGCCCCAACCTTGTGGGAAATTGGCGTTCCTGACCGTTCAGCTGCTGAGTTCTTCATCCCAGATCCCGACTCCCGCTATGTCAACCCACTCTACATAAATCAGGACAGGTATCTATTTCTATTTTGCTACCCGATTATCAAAATAACTTCATTTCAGCAACAAAAAGATAAGAAACCCAGTTTTTTTTAGTTCCCAGTTCCATTAATTACAACACCAAAATCAAATAAGTGTTAATTCTAACCTTTGTTTGTTATAGTTGTTGATTCTTCTTTCTGAATGCATGTATATGTAGGTTTAGGCAGTATGGGTTGTGGGAGAAGTATGGGCTTATGTATCCCGACAAGGATCTAGCTTATACTGTAGGTGTTAGTGACTACCGAAAAGATTGGTTCTACGCACACGTTACAAGGTTGGTTGGACTCTTCTGCTTCCTCCTTATTAATAAGCAAATCAAAAGGAATTAACTAGAAAATGGTACTCATTATCTGCATTAATGGCAGGAATAACAACGGCACCTATCTCCCAACTACATGGACAATTCACTTCAGACTTGAAAATGTGGTTCCAGGAGGAATTTATAAGTTGAGACTGGCGATTGCATCAGCCAATTTTGCCGAAGTGCAAGTAAGGAGAGCTTCATATTTATGCTAATTAACATTGTTAATTTCTGGTTTATGCTTCGGAATTTGTGAGTGTTGAGATTGAGTTGTCTGGCCATTGTTGTGTTGTTCAAGGTTCGGTTCAACGACATGGTTGTGCGTCCTCACTTCACCACCGGCAGAATTGGTAGGGATAATTCGATTGCTCGGCATGCAATTCACGGATTCTACTCATTTTATAGTGTTGATGTAGAGAGTAATTGGCTTCGACAAGGAGATAACACAATCTATCTGAGACAAGCCAGAGGCTCCACTACTTTCCAAGGAGTCATGTATGATTACATCCGTTTCGAAGGGCCCAGCCGTCCCAGTTGAGACATAGAAACCTTATGAAGTAGTTATTAACTTATAATAGACTCTCTCTCTCTCTGCGGGATTTTGTTAGAATTTTTTTTAACCCAGAAAAGTTTGGGAGATGGGTTATAATTGTACATACAATGGTAATCATCAAGGAACATATTTTGAATTGGATTTGTTTTTTTTATCACTTCATTATTTTTATGCAATCTGATTTGGATGTATTTATAATTACTTTTGCATCTATGATCAGATTTGTGAGTGTGATTATCCATTCCTCTTAATTTGTTAATAATATTAATATGTACGATATATTCTGATTTTTTTATTCAATTCAAGTTGAATTGATCTAAATGGACCAAATATGACTCTTGGTTCACGTGATTCGAATTCCAAATCTGTTTGCACTTTGCAGCCCTAGATTTGATCTTGAACAAAGGCAGTGGGGACTAGAGGCTCGTACCCATCAAGCCCCCAAAAGAGATAAAATGGGTCTATATTAACACAGTAAAATGGTTTAGTTTTGCGTCTGTTTGGAACTGTGATTTGCACCCCTATAGATATAAAATTTGTACGCTTTTTTTTTTGGTCTCATTTGCAATACAAATTTTGCATCTAAAAAATTGATGCAAAATTTGTGCCATCTTCCTCCTACCTCATTTTTCTCTCATATAAAGCAGGGCCACATTATCTTGCTTCCTACCTCACACCCAAGCAAATAATTCTACTCCTACCTCAGTTATCTCTAATATAAGGTGGGGATCACCATCATTTTATGAAGTAAAGGTAAACTAGGATTTACACTAAGCCTATTTGCACTCATGCAATTACACCAATATTGCAAATCAAATTTGCACCGTAAACAAATGAGTTAGGTCTAGACCCTATACCAACATCCTTGTTATAATTGCCTACAATCGATTATCAACCACTCCCCATGTTCGGAAAGTGTGACTTTGGACAGATTATCTGTAACTCTAAATCTATGGATAAATCTCTCCATGAAAACGTTGTGATTTGCTTTATATTGTTCCACATGCGTGAATTATGATTAAAAAAAAAGAAAACTGAAGTTATATATGGAAGTGGAACTATCCATGGACGAATCACGATTATTATATTCTTCTTCAATGCAAACATAATAAAAATGATAATAGTAATTTATAGCAACTACTCTCTTGTGATACAAATTGAGTTATAACAACTACTCGACTCCTACACCCTAACAGTAAACAAGCGATATCCCATACAAGTAGAAGCATGGGTGGAGGGACGAGATGTGAAACTACAGAGCAGCTAATTCATCTAACTAGCTAACGTGCTTAAGTCATGATTAAGTCGTTATCAGCAGTTCTGTCTTTGTTTTTTGTCATCTTTATCATTCAGTCACAAACAGATGTTGTTCTGGCTGGATCTCGCCTTCCATTTCTCGTCAACCCACGAGACCTTGAACCATCGTCGTACATTACTGTAACAGGTAATATAACTAGAATGCTCCTTTAGACACCGCTGTTGGAAATCTTTCTCCTTTTTTCGATTTTCAATCAGATGGTGCCGAGTTATTGCCTGATTGTTCCTTGACCGAGCAAAGAGATAAGCACCTTTTATTTATTTATTTTTTAAATAAGAAAAGAATATACATCATCTACTGCTCTTTTCCTGCAGTACGTGAGGGTGACGCATTAGAAAGAAATTGCTTAGAGTTGTCTTTCTTCTTGTGCTAGGATGCAGCAGCAACTGTGAAGAAGCTTGCTGTTACTGTGACATTGAGCAACAACCACCACTCTGTGTGAAGTGCTGCTAGGAGGAGCCTGGGCTTGCAGGTGTGAATTAGTTCTCCTGTGTAACACTAATTAATGGAAAAGAACGTCTTGGTTATACAAGTAAAAAGACATTAAATGGAATTCATTGTCTTATCACTGATTGACTCTGTTTGTCCCATTCAAAAATTATTAATGGTACAATCCTACCTATCCTTTTTTGTTGTGCAAAAAGGGCACTCAGCACTATCTGAGAGGCAAATGCAAACCCAGATTGGGTAGGAGAATGGGATGTTAGGAATGTCTCTACGGGCCTCTCAAATTTTAAAACTTGTTACTTCTATGACTCGATCAGCTCTTCTGATGAAGCCAGTCCAAATCAATATTGGGTGGGACAGTGGGACTAAACCACTCACTAACAAAGAGAGTGGTTTTTTCAGGTGTTGAGGTTGACCAACGTAGAACCAAAACTTGCAGTTGCAGGTAGGATGCAAAGATTGCATTAAAGAGGTGTCAAACATGAGTTTTCACTTCTCTATTATTAATCTAACTGGAAGCAGGGCTATGGAAAGACAATTAAGCCTAGCTGCTTAAGCAGAGGCTTCCCACTCCCCTGTTACCATGAGACCACCAATGATCTGTGTGCTTGTTCTGCTGATTGCCATGTCTCCCATCGTGGGTCATGCAACTGCCAATGCTCCTCTTCATGCTGATCAACTATGAGAAATTACCAAAAGTAGCTATTGAGAAGTAAATTGTAGGTAAGCAAACAATCCTGAGATTTCTTTTCCCATCTCCAGCATAACCCAGAGGAGCAGTTAAAAGTTACCATTGCCTATGATTTTCCTTGATCATTTTTTTTTTCTTTTGGCCTTTTTATAGTCCACTCCACCTCGGATTTCATTTGTTAATTTCCCAAATGTATTGACTGTTGGGGCTTGCGGTCAACCTAGTTGTTGATTAGGACGTGATGGAAGAATGCTGAAAATAGCAGGCTCAAGCCGGACTCTTCAATGACATAAAATATATTGAAAAATTAAATGAATTAGTACCAGTCAACGCCATTTCTGATTTTATGTCTGCATTTGCAGCTTGCACCAGGCTTTGCCACTGTTGCCTTCGTACTTACTATCATGGCGAGCCCACCTGTCATATATGCTTCTGATCTTGATGGATGGAGAGAAAGGATCTACTATGCTAAGATAAATACATAAATATTGCATTCAGAGGCCACATATTTTTTTGTGAAGAACCTTACCTGAATACATGTTGGGATCTGTACGAGTATATCCACGAAGCATAACCGGTCTCACTATATTACCCAATACATTGTCAGAAATCAGAATACAATTAATGAGTCTGTAATCATACTTTGATTTTGTGATTGGATTGATAAAAAACCACACTTTTGATTGGTTAGGCTATATACAGTCGATAGCAATCAGGTATACCATATCAGTCCATCTCTTCTGACGTGGATGTGTAGCGCCACAAAATCCCTCCTATAAGATTGTTCAATGCATGGGATGCCATTGGCACTATGATGCTTGAAGATACAATCGCTGAGTAACCATAAGCAAACCCTACAAATGTTGCCCTGAAAAGAGTCACAAGGTAAAGCTATGGCTCTAGACCAAGTCACTTCTCAAGAGAACTAGAGGCAAATGGTATGAAAATAGAAAAAGTTTAAGCTCAAAATCATAAAATGTAACATATTTACAAACTGCACAGCCAGAGGAGGGTTCCCCTGTATAGAATTTGTTGTTGGAAAAAAGAACCTACATAAATAGGATAGATCATATGATTCAAAAAGCAACTCCGTTGACGCTCAACATTCCTCAAATTGGAATCTATAAAATAGATGCAAACAACCCCTGTATCTGGACCAGTTATGATTGTGTAGTGCCATGCCAACCATATCCACCAATACTTGTTAGAATTATGAGCAAAAATCACCCCTTAAGAAAATGTGAAATGTGCCAGTTATTCAGTGTCTTTAAATTCCTTTCCTTTCCTTTTCTCTTTATTCTTCTGTTCTTTTTTTGGGAGTGGGGGTGGGGGCATTAAAGAAGAGCATAGAATGATTACCACATGGCAAATGGATATCTTCTGCCACCATTCAGGTGTAAAAGACCAAAAATGACAGCAACCGCCAAAGCACTCTTCAGACTGAATCCAAAAAGAGGAAGCAGTGCACCACGAAAAAGGAGCTCCTAAGGAAATAAACATATTGAAGTAAGATAACATGGAAGGTAGAATGCAAAATAAGGTATCACTTAACAGAGGCATACCTCACTGACCCCAGGCAGAAATGCCACAACCATGAAATCCAGAGGTTGCAGTCCACTGAGCACCTGAAATACAAAACTGGAAGCTTGTAGTAACTTGACATTGCCACCTATATAATCAATAATACTAGAAATGTTTCATCAAAACTACCCCAAATCAGAACAGAAATCGCTGTGTCAATTGTTGTTAATGCAAAGCACACATCCAGTAGGTCTGAGATGCATCAGGGATCTTACCAACATTGATCTTATCAAGGCTGATATTGACATAGGACATAGACCTCCATGCCCATTAAACAGTGGTTAAATAAATGAATTTATTTTGTTATCAATGAGCAGCAGAAAGATTCCTCCAGGTGACAATGGCACTTTTTTTATGCAACCAGCTCCTTCAATTCTTTTCTATCCATAATGCACATTTATACACTATTCCCCGTCTTGAAAAAATTATATGCAGGTGTAACATGGATGTATGTTTCTGAAAATGATAGGCTTTTTATATCAATAAAACAAAGAGGGAAGCCACATCTGTTTTATTGAAAATGATAGACTTTGAGGTACAGTCTATGCACAAGAGACTATTCAAGGAAAAATGAGATGTATCTTTTTTTATAAATAGGCAGCCCTTAAGTATCTACTATGCACAATAAAAGAATAAAAGTTGAGTTTACTAACTTGGTGATTACATTATTTACTAAAATAAATCAACAATTCAAAAGCACAAAAGGTATCAAGACAAAGAGGAGCATGCAACTAAATTTATTAAATTCTTTACAAAATCAAGTTTGATAAGAAGTCACAAAAAGCAACTTAAAGGGAAAAAAATTGATAACAAGCTCTCTGTACTCCAGGCTTTAACAAGAAACTGAAAATAGGCTAACTTTACTAATTTGGATAGATTTAACAAAATTATAATAATATAACTAGAGGATTTATAATAACTCCTCTAAAGTAACTTTTTCTTTGTCAACCAAAAGTTCTTTTTCTGTAAGTTTACTGCTTCACCTTCATGCAACAAAGGCTCTAGTGGTGCTGTCTTGAGCTTCTCCAAAGTGAAAGAATCCACATGAACCAAATATTCAGAAGGTAGCATTTTTTTTTTCCTTTTGAATTCTTTTATTATTTTCTTCTCTAGAAACTCCCTAATAAAGAATATTGAATTCTTTGTAAATGTGGACAGGTTGAAGATTAGAACATACTTGCTGATTAGCTGCCTCACTGGACTCAGCAAAATCTGCCCATGTCTTCAGCAGTAGGTACCGACATGATGATATCAATACCACTAGTCCAGCGATCAACTCAAGGTGCCACATCTCAAAATCAACTGGTATATTATGAAATAAAACGGATCAATCTCATAGATCAAACAAACAGTCAATAAATGCACATGAATATGAAATAAAACCATTCTACAGTTCATGTTAAAATATTTGAATAATTGATGATGATAATTCATATCACTGATGCTCAGATCATGGTGGGGTGATGGAGCACCATGCTTCACTAGATAAGGTGGAAGCATTTCATCAAGATGATCTTTAGGACAAATAACTTACCTAAATGCACTACTTAACATCTATCATATTTTCTGCCAATCCACAATATAATAGAGTTTACCCCATCCACCACAGGTTTGTGCTACATTATGGAAGAGATTCAAGGTAGGAAGAATAAAAGGTTCATTCATTAATTAAGTAGCAAAAAGAATGAGCATGGAATATACATGACACTTCTGTAGAGCAGTCAAGGATTGGCCATCCTTCCAGAGATGCTATATGAGATACCTGCAGGTTACAGTCAGGAAAGAAAAATTTAAGATGAACTCAAGTTGTGAATTGAACTACAAATATACCTAATAACAATCATGATAGGTATACCATACATTTCTTTTTTAAATTGTGTTCCTACAGGGCAACAAAATACCAGCAAGAAAACATGAAATGGAAATCAAAGATCATATTACTACTAGTGCTTAAGCATTTCTTATCCTAGCTCGAGGGGCTTTTATATATCAGTAAGTATATTGTTGGCAAAGCATGGAGAACTAAACGCTATTGACCTATGCAACCTAGAAATGGAGATGTTAGATGAATAAGATAGAGAAAGAGATTAGCCACAAAAACAGTTGACGAACTGCTAATTGTGCATTAAGCCAACGGGATGACCAAGCAATGAAGATTGAAGACGTGGGAATGGGACGAACCTGTCGAATTGCTACGCCCAACGCAAGTATTAACCCAGAAGTGATGGCGCAAGCCCGAAGTACAACGCTTCGGGAAGTGATGGATTTTGTAACCTTTGGAGGAAAAGTATCTCCAGAAGATCCCCTATCGCGAATAAAATCATCTTGTGACACACCTGCCGAGCCATTATCCTCATCCGAAGGTTTCTTCTTAGTCTGCAGAGTTGCGCCACTGCCCGTTCCTCGATTCCTTCTCAATTTCTTAACAGAGTTGTTATTTGCAAAAGCTTTGATATTGTCTCCAAATCCCTATAATTCAACAATACGAATCAAACTAATGCGCATTGACACTTTATTGTATCTGACAAAGAAAATAACCAAATAAAGAGCAAATTCATAATAATCATAATAAGTAGGGTGGGAGATGAGAACTATACATACTGTGTATAGGTTGGAAGGCGCAATCTTCCTCGCCGGAAAGATGCCAGTGACCTTTGTACCTAATCAAACGTGGTCAGTTTTGTTTTGTACAATCAACATAAGAGAGAAACACATACATGATATAAAACGAGAAGCTATTGAGGAATTCAGAGAAGAAAGCAAAGAAATCGAAATAGGGAATTCAAGAGTGGTAGTTATGAAGTGTTAGAGAAGCAACATGTTAGTGAACAAGATTAAATCAGAGAAGTAGAAAATACTGTTGATGCACCGAAAAAAAAACCCAACAAGTCTTGAAACCGAGAAAACGATATCGAAGAAATTGTGCTAAATTAAGGAGGAAAGAAGGCTAACCGGACAAAATGGAACTTCCCGGCGGAATGTGAAATCCGGCGGTAATGCCTGGTCTGCTCCAACATCTAGTGGTAGCAACTATTTCCATGCTGTAGGTCCTAATTTCCGTTCATCTCAAACGTTGACAAGTTTATTTAACATCCTGTCGAAATTCACTGGAACTCTTAGAACTACGAATCAAGGAAGAATAAGGCTTCACCAATCAAAACCGCTGTCCTCCCCGCCACTCACTTTTTTATTTTCTTTTCACAAGATAAGAGTTTCCGTTTTCTCATTTTTTACTTTCAATGAGTTCGTTGGGTAAATATATCTTTGGGTTTGGGTTTTACTTTGTTATTAGCTTATTGAGGTTTGCTACAAAATGTTTTATAAGATATATAAAGGAATTATACTTTTACATTATATTATCTTTGGGCTCCCAACCCTCAATGCAACCCAATTAATACAAAAGGTAAAATATAAAAGAAAATTATAAAATTATCATTCTTACTTTTCAATACCCCCCTTAATTTGTAATTTTTATTAGAGATCTAAAATGCAGAAATTTTTCGGAAGCTAGAGGCTTGTTGGAGACATCAGCAAATTGATCTTTAATCTTGATGAACTTCAATTTAATCTCTCCTTTATTAGTTAACTCTTTGATGAAGTGGTGTCTCAGCTCAATATGCTTTGTTCTTCCATAAAAACTGAATATTTGTTAATTGCAATAGCTGAAGTATTATCATAGTTGATTGTAGTTGGGCAATTTTGCAGAAATTAAAGGTCTTTCAAAAGTCTTGTAAGCCAAATTGCTTCACAAGATGCACTAGTGGCTGAAATGTATTATGTTTTAGCTGAAGAAAGTGTCACAGTATTTTGCTTCTTGAATGACCAAGATATTATTTTACTTCCTGAAGAGAAAATATATCCAGTTATGCTTTTTCGGTCATCTATGGAACTAGCTCAATCATTGTTTGAAAATCCAATCAACTTTAAGTTATTTTCACTTATATATTTCAGCCCAAAGTTCACATCATAGGACATGGTTAATGGAAACACTTTGTTTGCATCCATTTTTACTATAGAAATGATTTAACCTTTCTTTTTATTAGTTATTAAGCATTCATCATTGTCAAAGTGCACTTCATAACCTTTTTGTATAAATTGTCCAACACTAAGTAAATTTTGAGTCAAACCAGGAACATAAAGATTATATGAGATGAGTTTAAAATTACCTTACTTAGTTTGGATTGCAACAATATCCTTTCCTTTAACACTTTGGAGTTTGCCATTTCCAAGCTTCACTTGAGAATTAACATGTTCATTCAGCTCATAAAAACATTCTTTGTTTCATATCATGTGGTTACTACAACCACTATCCAAATACCAAATTTCTTTTAGTTCTTGTTGGGTATTCATACAAGAGTAAAATAGATGATTTTCTAAATCATCATTTTCAATATAATGGACTTGTTCTTTCTCTTTAAATTTGCAATTTTTTGGGGCATGAGCATGATTTTTGCATTTTTTTACATCTAAAATAACGGTCTTGGGGCAAATGGTTGTCTTTCTTGCAAATAAAACAACCATTGTTTTGCTTTTCACCTCTTCCTCTTCTATACGATCTACCTCTTCCTTGTCCTCTTCCATTATTTTGGTATCATTTTCCTTTGCCTTAATATGACCATTCTCTTGGAATTTTTTTTTCACCATCATTCTTTTTCTTTTTTGCAAAGGTGAGTTTGGACTGAAAAGCTTGCTCCAATGAAGAAGATGAAGTTTTATTTTTTCGTTCTATCCTTATGATTTTCAAGTGAGCTCATTAACTCATGCATGGATAGTTTAGTCAAATCTTCGGCTTCTTCAATGACAACCACCACATGATCAAATTTAAATGGTAAATTCCTCAACTTTTTTTACAATTTTTTTTCATTTGAGATAATGTCTCCATATGTTTTGATTTGATTTACAATACCAACAACTCTAGAAAAGAAATCTTGAATAGATTCACTTTCTTTCATCATAATATTATCAAAATCTCTCCAAAGAGTTTGAAGTTTTATGGATATTACTTTTTCAGTGCCCTGAAACTCTTTCTTGAGAATATCCCATGTTTTTTTTGAGTTTTTGGCAACCATGATTCTTGGAAAGACTGTTTTACTTACTACTTGTTGAATATGATATAAGGCTCTAGCATCATCTTTCTTATTTTCTTTGTACTCATTTTTCTTGTTTTCAGTTCAAATTGTAAGTTGCTCACGATTTTCTGGTTCTTCGTTTCCTTCTTTTACCAGCTCCCAAATCTCTTTGGAGATGAAAATGTTTTCATTTGTATATTCCAATAATCATAATTTTCTCCATAAAAAATAGGAAGTGAAATTTTTTTAAAAGTATCTAAAATAGAGCTGTTGGAACTTGATGCCATGAAAGGTTTTAGTTTTACATTTAAATGGTTGAATGGATCTTTGCTCTGATACCAAAAGTTTGTTGGAGCAATGGAAGTGTGGTAGTAAAAATCAAAGGAAGAACTAGAAAAATTTGTAGAAGAGAAAAGGAATATAGAATGAAGAGAAGAAGAGAAGAAGATGAAAAGCCAACGTAGAGTTCTGGATTTTACTTTTGTTCTTAGTTTCTTGAGCTCTATTACAAAATGTTTCAGGTTACAAGATATATAAAGGAGTTTTATTTTTATAGTCTAGACCTTTCAGCTCTCAACTCCCAAGGCAACTCACTTAATACAAAAGACAAAATATAGAAGAAAATTACAAAATTACCACTCTTACTTTTCAACATCTATACTTCTATAACATATACTAAAACGGGCAAATGGGCAATGACAAATTACCACCCTCTATACCATATAATACAGTAACATGTGTTTTCCACATTAGTATGTTGTACTTTGGGCCTAGTGTCATTTTGGTCCTTGAACTTTAAAACGTGTCAACCCAATACCTAAACTTTCAATACGTGCCAATTTAGTATCTACAATTAATCAACCATTAAGTGGCATTTGAAAAGATACAAATGCCCTTTGAGTGTCATCGGATTTTCTTTGTCAATCATCCAATTGCCCTTTTGAGAAGTCTGAACATCTCTTTTATTCTTTCTTCTCTCTTTCTTTGATCTTTGTTCCACACCCGTTAGATGATCAACAATGCAACCTATCTGACTAACATCCCATAAACAATTGTCCATTCGTCCTATTAATCAAATGCCTAAAAGATGATCTCTAAACTTTGTAAAACCCAAATTGGAAGATAAGGAACACCCATTCTACCTCCATTGAGATGTCCAAGAAGACTTACAAGTTATAAAGTAGTAATTTTAAAATTTGGCATAATTTGTAAGTCTTCTTGGGTGGGGTGAAGTGCAATTGTCCATTCATCCTAACAATTCATATTGTAGAATGCTTCCTGAACTGTTCAAAGTTGAGAAATCAAGTGTAATTGTGTAAACCAAATCTCTAAGGGCGCATTCTCCAACATGAATTGCTTTTCTTATTGTCCATTCCAAAAGCAAATCAAAACCATTTTATTTAAAAATTGTTTGTTTTTTAAAACAAAAGTACAAGAAACATGTCTTTTAGTGTATGTATTTTTTGCAGGGGTGAGGCCAGGAGATTTTTTTTAAGGGGGGCCAAAACCTAAATGAAGTATGGATGGACCCATAGGGGGGCTAACCATTGAGGAGGAGAGTGGGGGGAGGGGAAAATTTACATAGAAAGTTGTACTACAGTGTGGATTTTTTGAACCATAGGGGGGGTCATGGCTCCCCTGGGTCCCCCTAGCTCTGCCCCTGATTTTTTGTTTTCAAAAGTGAAACTAAAAACATATTTTTGAATCTATTTTTAAATATGTTTTCATTTGATTATTTAACATCATGTTCCATTAATCATATAATTTATGTACTAGAAAATTTGATTTTGTTTTAAAAATCACTAGTATTTTATTGATTCAAAAAACATGTATTGTCTTTTGAAACAAAACCAACTTGAAAACAAAAATAGAGTTCAAGAACATGTTTTTATTTATTTTTAATGATATGGCAATTCCAAAGACAAATGAAAACAAAATCATTCACGTTGTAGAACACCCCCTAAATTGTTCTAAACCCATTAACCTGTTGATATCTAAAAGCCAACCCATCAAGTTGGAGAAATCATAAATGGAGTTTCAAACATTCCAACCTTCTTCACAACTTTTTTTTTTCCTTCAACTTTCCCTTTCTCTTTCAATCTTACAACATCTCGAAAGACTTAGGGCCTGTTTGGTTTATAGTCGAAATCCTTCAAAATCGGAATGGTCTATTCCCATAGTCTGTTTGGTTCAAACAAAAATGAGAATAAAAATTCGAATAAGCTGGAATGGGATTTCATTCCCAAGGGAGGGGAAGGGAATGACCATTCCTTTAAATGGGGGAATGCCATTCCACAATGGGAATGAGACTCCACTTTTTCCCAACCAAACAGTTGGACCGATTCCACACCCTTATTACCATGAATTAAACAGGGTCTTAGTAATAGTTGTTTGGATGTCGCCCACCTTTTTTTTTCTATCACATCAACTAGGGATATCACTAATGGTTAGAGGTGTAAAGTGGGCCGTGCCGCGGGCTTGGGCCAGGCCTGGCTGCATGCCGTGCCGTGGGCTGGGGCCGCGTCGGGCTAGACTGATTTTTTTGACTTTTTTTGTTTTTGAAAATTTTGATTTCTTTTCTAAGTAAAAGTGTAAAACTAAAATATTTAACTTTAAACTTTGGGAACTATTTGAAAAATAAAAAAAATGAGAAATCTAAGTTATCTAACACATAAATGAAAAAAAAATACTTAACCAAATTGAAATAAGAATGATGGAATAACAAATTGGAAGAAAAATAGGAATTTTATTTTATTGAAATTTGAATGATACAAATTACAAATACAATGATTGGATCATTGGATACTTGGATGAATTAAATAAATTAATAAAATATAAAAAATATAATATAGTTACAAATTGAAAACACAAAATTTCATTTTTAAAAAATTAAAAAATACCAAATAAATTAAATAAAATTAATAAAATTACAACACTTTGAAAAAATAAAAAAAAATTATACAACTAGTCAACTTCATGAATCATGACTTTCATCATCAGTTTCAGGTCAAATATTCGGCTAAAATATTGTGACTTTTAGGTGAAAGTCAGCTTCTCTTGTCGTCCAACACCCTGGTACCTAAACTAAAACAAGACTCCGATGGAACTGTAGACACCAGAGGGGTTAGTAGATCACTTGTCATGGCGGCAAGAATTGGATAATTTTTTGAATGTTCACTCCACCAGGCTAAAATATCAAAATTATTTGTTGTCTCACCTAAATTAGAAAAAATTGCTTGTAAATAAAAATTAAGTTCAGTAAATGAACTTGTTTTTGAAGTAGCAAATTTCTGCCTTCTACTTATTAAATAAAAAAGTTTTTCTCTTCTACCACTGGCTCAAAATCAGAAGTAGAAATGTTGTACAAGTTGTAGGAATATTTCCTACAACTTCATATTCATATAAACTATACATTTCAAATAACAAATTATTAATTTCTTTTTTTATTTCCAATTTCAATATTCATATTTTCACAATATGATTCAAGTAAAATATCTAAACCATCTTTCCTAATCCTAGGGTCTAACAATGTAGCTAAACAATAAAGGGGAGAAATGTTCTCCCAATATTTTTTTAAATTTATTTTCCATTATTTCAACAATACATTGAAATTGTGGATTATTTCTATATTTTGCAAAACAATCACTAATTATCATTAATTGATAAGGTTAAATACAACTAGTTGGATAATAAATACCTGATAATTCATTAGTTGCATCATAAAAATATTTTAGAAAATCTCTGCCATTTCCCAATCTTCCACAAATATAATATCATTAGGCATTTTTGCATTATAAAAATCAGTAAGAATTTGTTTATGAGAAATACAACTTTCTAACATAGCATAGGTAGAATTCGACCTATGTTTTACATATAATATAAAATATTTATATTTTAAACCATAATTTGGACATAAATATTTAAATTCTTGTTTTCTTGCCCCTGAACTTTTAATATATATAATACAATTTCTAATTTTAGAAATATGAGTAGAAATAATATTCAAGGCATCTTAAATACATAAATTTAAGATGTGACATGCACATTTGATATGAAATAATTTATCATTTAAACATGTTTTTAATTGAGATTTTAAAATATTTATTGCTGAATCATTATTGCTGGCATTATCAAAACTAATAAAAATAAATTATTTTATATTCTAAAAGCATGCAAAGTATTTAAAATACTTGCAGCAATAACTAGGCCAATATGTGGCCATTAAAGCCTAATAAAACTTAAAATTCTTTTATTTAAAATCTAATTTTTATCAATAAAATGGCCGGTAACACAAATATAACTAATGTTAAATTTAGATGTCCAAACATTAGAAGTAATTGCAACTTTAGAATTAAGATTTGATAACAAAGAAATTAAATTTTATTTATATGAATAAAAAATTTTTAAAGCATCTGATCTAATAGTATTCCTAAAAACTTTTTTATATTGTGGGTTTACAGAATTATGCAACAATTTTTTAAGCTTAGGATCTTCAGCTAATATAAATGGTTGTTCTGCATGTACAATATACTTGGCTAATTCTTGTCTCATTTTTTCTTGTGAATATTTAAATGTACCAAAACTACTCCCCCTCCCAATTTGTGTTTGTGTTGTTTCTCTCCCTTCTTCTCCCTTCTCATGTGTGAGCAAATGCCTGCTTAAATGACCTGTACCACCCTTGCTACAATAACTAAAGCCTTTTCTATATTTTTGGCAAATTGCTCTTTTTCCCTTCCCCTCAATATCCTCTACTTTTAAAATTTTCCAAACCGGGCTACTCAACTTAGTGGCCCTCCTTTTTCCCCTAATATCAGTACCAGTGGTGAAAGTTCCACTTCCATCAATATCAATAGCATCAGTTCTAACACTATCATGATGCGATTGAATATCGTCAATAGTGAACATGTTGGGGAATCGGTTTTTGGAAGAGCCAACCATTTTTTTTAATTCTAAAAAGATAAAAATTAATTTAATTCAAATTACCCGGATTTCCGGTTAAGAATCCCAACTTGATTTCAACGGTTAAAGTCTTTCAACGTCCAAGCCTCCTAAATTGAGATACTTGAGCTGGTTGAGCAAGCCTTCTTCTTGTTGAAAGTTGAAACTTCAATAAAGTTGAGACTTGAGAATTGGAGAATCAAACAATCAACCAATCAGAAATTCAGAATTACTCAGATTGTAGAGAATTGAGAATGTATGAGTATGAGAGAGAGAAGAGATTAAGACATTTGTTGAATTGGTATGATGAGATTGGTGGAGGGTAGGGCTATTTATAGGAATTGAACATAATTCAATTGCCTAAAATACCCTAAAAACTAAATGTTTTTTAGTTGTTGGGAGGGGTATTTTGGTCATTGTAAAGTTATTTATAACTTTACCCAAAAAACCCCCCTAAACTAGTTGTTATATAGCTGTTTATAGTTGTCGGGGGGTATTTATGTAAAAAACTCCTCAAAAGCTGATTTTCGAACGGGCCGATCACGGCCCGCTACAGGCCCCGTGTCGGCCCGTGGACTACAAGCCCCTGGCCTAGTACGACATAAACCATTGTGCTGGGCCTGACATGGCCTATGGGCTGTCATGCTGGGTTGGGCCGGGCCGGTCCAATTTTGTGCCGGGCCATGGGCGGCCTGGCCTAATTTACACATCTACTAATGGTGCCTAGAAGACAAAAGCCAAAGACGGCAAAAGGGATCTTCTCATCAGTTCTTAAAAAATGATAGCATTCTAAAGAACATCTTCCTCAACAATCCCCGAAAATGAGATATTGCTGGTTGGACAGGAGTTTGGATATTCTCCTCATAAATAGAGAGCGCCTCGCACTGACATCACATCCTGTTTTGGCCCCGTGCTTGTAAGTTTCTATTTGTAGGGAGATGTTTCAGATGCATGACTGAAATGTTCTGTGAGGTTGGCGTGAGGCACTCTTGTGAAGAGCAGATTCGAACTCATTGAATGGCAACCCTATCAATATATCATTTCCACAATTCTCATTATGGGCAAATTAATTGATTCAGTCAACTAAAAACTATTGCCTGTACATTGAATTTGTTTAAAACCTTTTCATCTATCAATTCACAGCTAAATCAATCAACAAAATTGGTTAGATAACCAAAAGCCAAAGAATTACAGTTTAGCAAAGTTTCTCTACCCTGGTAACTTGATTTACTTCCATTTTTAAACTCTTTACATCTATTTTTTTTTGGGTATAAGAGCTATCATAAGGAAAAATCTATGATGTGAGAAAGACATGATGAATTGGAGACAAAATTGTACACATTGGGCTGGGCCAACTATCACGAATGAACACCAGTGTTCACTGTAGGCCCCACAGGCACATCATTCCAAAAATAAAAATGGATCCACTGTCGTTAGTTTATTGGAATCCGGATTAACTGAACACTTTAGCCATGTAAAGGGCTGCAGAACCAATGATAATGCTCCATGCCAATAATAAAACATGAAACCTACAGTGAGGGGTTGAATGCAAGGTTCCAAATATCGACACGGGCCGATACACCTATCGGTGTCAGTACAATTTTTTTTTAGTTTTATTTATTTATTTTTGAAATCAATTCAGAGGGATTGATTTAAGGCCCAGCTACCCTTTGAACCAGTGGCTGACCCAATACAACCCCTGGAGAGGCATATAAGTAAATCATCGACACGATACGTATCGATACTTTGAACCTTAGTTGAATGTTTATAGGTTTGATATATTTTATGACTGAATTTCTTGCAAGCAAAAGCTCTGTACACATAGCATCCAGCCACACATTAGGAAGATCTCCAAGACATATTAAATTCATGGAGAGATGTTCCCAATGTACGGCTGAATTTCATGCTTGCAGAGTGAGTGCAAGCATAGTTGGCATACATCCAGAGACACAGCAGACACTAGTGAATTGACTGGACTCTTTGAGTGGAACTTGGGACAATGCTAACAAAGAATTCGTTGGTAGCAGTAGCACCAAGCTCCCACCTCCCACCTGCTTGAGAAAGAATTTGCTAGTTCTAGCAATGCAACTCTAGTCCTTGGGGCTACGGCCCTTTGGGAGGGCTCAACTTTGGTAGAGCTGCTTTCAAGAAGCCACTAAAAGAAGCCTCAGTGAAAATCCATGTTTTTTTGCTTTAAGACAGTTATTTTGGACTTTCCGGGGTTTTCATCGGACATGGCTTATAGACTGCACAAGAGGGGCCCACCTCGCAAAACCATAAGCTGCTTCACTTTAGTCTGATTTCATCAGTCCAAATTACCTAACAATCAGTAGCATGAAAATGAGAATACAAAGGAACCAATTAGATGTCTCTTTACCCCGAACTTATGCACCAACATAAAAGATAAAGAGATGAATGCAACAAAATCATCAACTGTTAATACAATAGGCCACAGTGGAATTCACGCGACCAAATTCCACTCCAGCTTTACATTCCAATCAGGGAAAATAAATAAATGTGAAGTACACTCCACTTGCATGGAGGCTAGGATTCTCCAAAACCCTAAAATGTGATTGCAGAGAATCAAGAAATATATAACAAAATGAATATGGACACACTGCATAAAAGCAAACATGAACCAGAGGCACCAACTTACATACATGATACACTTTGTGGGCAAGAAATGGGGCATGGTGATGCCTTCGTTTTTTTTTATCTTTTGTTTTGTGTGTGATTGGGTTGGGGAGGGGGGTTGTTAGTGCGGTGGCTTGATCACAAAAGGGTGCCCACGAGCCAAAAATGCAAGAACAACCAGTAGGCTATGAGACCTATCCTTGCTCCAGGCCGACTCATCAGAACTCGACCACCAGAGACCCTGCAATTCATGGATCAAAATGACTATAATTCTCAACAGGAATTGGCACATAAATGTAACTGTAAGCTTAGAACCTATACAGAGTTGCTTGCACTGATTAGAATTGTTCTTTTTCAGTTGAAGGCTTCAATTGGGGAAAAGGAAAGCTGAATGTCTAGCACATACTTTTTTCCTAACAATCTTCCAATAATTGACAATTGGTCATGTCTTCAGGTTTCTGCTCTAGGTTTCCCATTGATAATAATAACTTGTTAAAATGAACGAGTGTTCTTAAAGATTCATAGCAGCATGCAATGGGCTGAAAACTGCTCTTAACCTCCGGATGTACACATGATCATCCAAGAGAGCAAGCCTTGCTTCTGTTAGCGCTGAAGGGGTCCCACAAACACTATGAAATGGAGCCAAGAGGTTGAAAGGAGGCTGTGATATTTAACAGACTTGCCAGATCCATTCTTACATATAGAAACAAAAACTGTGGTGGATGAACTTGCCAGATCCATGGCAAAATGGGTTTTTTTTGTACGGTGATAGCCTTTTACTTTGTTTTTGTTCAGGAGGGGGCTGATATTGCACATTTTCTAAATGATGTACAATTTATTTTTACATTCATTTAGGGGTGTCAATGGACCAGGTTTGGGTTGGACCCCGTCCAAATACAAATCAATTTGAATGGGTTAGACTGACCAATAAGACATAATGACTTAATGGTCCAAAGTATTTATTAGATTGGGTTGGACCTGGTCCGTCTGTAATGGATTCATATTGTACTGGATCAGATTGAACCAATATCCAGTCCATCAACAGAAGATAAGAATACGGGTGCCAATGGACCAGATTTGGGTTGGAGACAATTTAAATTAAAACCAATTTGAACAAGTTGGATGGTCCAGACATTGCATTGGACCAGTTCAGAATGGTCCAAAGTATTCATCGGATTGGATTGGACCTGTAATGGACTGGGTCAGGTTGGATCAATATCTAGTCATTGACAGCCCTTATTCATTTGTCAAAAAAGAAGAGGACAAATTAAAATGTGGGAAGCAGGATGTAATAGCTAGATTAGCATTTTACCAGATGCCATCAATCCGATCTGCTATCATCTTTCCTTGCTTTGGAATGAGACCCGAGGTATTAAGAGATTTGAACACATGACCTGCAAACAATAAGTTATAGACATTGCTATCAAAACTCCCAAACTAGAATTTCCAGAAGAATAGCACACCATTTATTCACATCCAAACCTTTATCTTCATCAGTTTCATGCTGGCTGATTAAACGATCAGATTCCAAATCAATACTGAGAGCAAGGTGGTCAGACTGGTCACTTGAACTCTTCCGCATTGTTCTCACATGTGCAGAAGAGGGAACAGGAGAAATAGATGACTTTGCAAGTGGGCCCTGTACAAGTGTTTGTTTAGTACAAATGAATGAAAGAATATGGATGTACGAAAAAACAAATTCCATGATATTTTTCATTGGATGGTAACTTTCATTCAATTAGTAATTAGTACAAAATCAGCCACCCAAAGAAAGGGTGCTGATCTCTTAAAGCATCTCATAATTACTCTATTATGTTTTCATCAGAAAACATTTTATGGTTTTAGGTCCACATGATTGTGGTTAATGAGTTTTAACCCTATAATCCCAAATAAAGCAGATGAGCAAGAGCAACTAACAAGTTCTTTGGATGGTCAGCAGAAGATAATCTAATGGAACAGAAAACTTCACAACATTCCAAATCACAAATGCCCTGACTATCTTCAACGGAAAATGCAGACCTAAAGAAGATTTGGTGGAAATCATTAAGCTAAAAGTTGCACATTGGGTTAAAACTCTTGAGCTGTTCCAAATTTTCTCTTTAGCTGATATAATGTGGCCATGTGGGCTTGGAAAAAAGTGGCCTTTTCAGCTCAGAAGAAAGAGAAGGTGGGAATGGAATGGAAACCCCCAGCTCCAAACAAAATAAAGCTGAACTTTGATGGCAGCTCCATGGGGAACCCAGGACTGGCAGGCATAGGGGGTGTGTTCAGAAATTCAGAAAACTAAGTGCTGGCTATGTTTTCAGGGCCTATAGGGGTTGGAGATTCGACAAAGGCTGAGCTTCAAGATTTTCTTCAGGGGTTAAGACTAGCCAAACAAGCAGACTTTAAAAACTTGGAGGTTCAAGGGGACTCAAAACTGGTGATTTCTTGGTCTAATTTTAGAGGCAATGCTCCCTGGGTATATAGACATTCCCTACGAGAGATTGAAAGTTTAGCAAAGGAGATAAATGCCTCCTTCACTTGGATCAGAAGGACTGCTAATGGGATAGCTGATTCATTAGCAAAACAGGGAGTTTATAGACAGCATCTTTTCTGGGCAGTTTTGTAATTTTCTTTTGCAGCACTAGCTGTGCTCTTCCGTTGGCTGTAATCTGTTTTCATGTTTCTCTCAGATTTCTTGGTCTAATTTTAGAGGCAATGCTCCCTGGATATATAGACTGTTGAGAATGGTTAGACGGGTGTTTTTGGTCATTTTCTCCTTTCTTATACTCTCTCTGTACTTGGGCACCCAGATAGGGGCCTTCTTGTAATTATTAATTTCAATTATAAAGTGAACTTTTGAGGGTGTGAACAGTGAACTTCGCACACCTCTCGACACTTTCCTTCTTCCTCTTCTTCTTCTTTTCTTCTCTTCTTTCTCTCTCTTGAAACCCTAGTTTCTGCAACTTGGTATCAGTGCGGGTAGAAGCATCTGGGAGTTAGTTTTCTGTTGATCTCCTACCAGAGGCGAACTGCTGATGTCAGACCGTCGCTGGATGACGTCAGCAGTCCGTACAGGTGTCGGTGGCAGACTATGAAACCAACACAGTTTGATTAGCCCTGATTTTAGAAAAATTTTGGTATGACTTGTCGTTATATGAAACTTCTATGATTTTTGGTGGATTTTTCAAGGAAAAAATCGCAGAAATTCCAAATCTGATGTCGAGCCATGTACAGCAGATTTAATGATTTTTTTTTTTTCTGCTGTAGAACCTAGACCATTCAGGTCGTTTTTCAATTTGGGATTGACGGGAAGTGGTCCGTAATTTTCTGAGCACTGTGTGATTTTTGGGAGATTATTTTCCCCCTCTATTTTGCCGCCAACCTAGTTTTTTGGGTCTTCCTTTGGTTTTTAACCATGGGGTAATGTGTTTTTGGGTCTGGAACTTCAGTTAAAGTGTTGGGGCCTTTTTGGTTGGTGAAAAGGTATCTTCTTAGAATATGGAATCATCTAAGGATTTTTAGATGGTTCCCGGTGTGCTCCTGGGAACTACAGATATTTCCAATGGTATGATAACTACTATTAAGCTGGATGGAACTAATTTTTTAGAGTGGTCTCAATCTGCTAAACTTACCATTACTGGGAGGGGTAAACTGGGATTCATCACAGGAAGGGAAGTGAAGTTGAGTCCTGAAGACCCAAAGTTTGCAAGGTGGGAACAGGACAAGTCTCTTGTTATGTCATGGCTGATTTGCTCAATGCAGCCTCATATTGCCCGAAATTACATGTTTCTTCCATCTGCCGAGGATATTTGGGATAGGGTAGTTGCTACTTATTCCCAAGTTAACAATACTGCTAGAGTGTATCAGCTTCAGAGGGAAGCTTGCAATATGTGTTAGGGGGAGAGATCTGTTGCTATGTATTTATCTTCTCTACAATCTATCTGGGAAGAAATGGATCACTTCAAAGCTCTAGTTTGGAAGGACCCTGAAGATGGTGAGTAGTATCGGAAGTATATAGAGGAGAATAGAGTCTTTGATTTTTTGGCTGACTTGAACCTAGAGTTTGATTTCACCAGACAACACATTCTTAGTGCAGGCGTTGTTTCTCTTGCCACTGTTGACTCTCTTGTACAAGGGGGAGAAAGCCGAAGAACTGCCATAATGCAATCCTCTATGAGTGATCATTATGCCTTTATGTCATCTCGACCCAAGCAAAATACTAGCAAACATCCCATTGCAGAGAAGGTCGAGGATGTTATTTGTGAGTACTGCAAGAAGCCAAGACACACTAAAGAAAGGTGTTGGAAGCTCAATCCTCATATAAAACCAGAGAAGTACAAAATCGGGAAGAAGGGCAATGCTCACTTGGCTACAATTGGTAATGATGGTCAACCCTAGGATGTTCTTGACTCTACTGATGTGATGGACAAACTCAGGAATATATTATTGCAGCTAGAGAAGGGTGGTACATCCTCATCATCTGGTTTTGGACTTGGTAATCTATCTAGTTCATATGCCAAGACAGGTATTGCACTTGCTTGTTCCACTTCCTTTAGCCCATGGATTGTAGACTTTGGGGCCAGTGCCCATATGACTGGTATGCCTTCACATTTACCTCATATAAGTTAACCCCAGGGAAGGGCAAGACTATTGTTGCAGATGGATCTTAGACCCCAATCTCGGATTAGGGTGAAGTCAAAATCACTAATAACCTTTCTCTTGACTCTCTTCTACATGTGCCCCTGCTACAAAAAAAATTTATTGTTTGTTAGTTCTCTAACAAAATTCCACAATTGCTCAGTAGCATTTTTTCCCACCCATTGTGTTTTTCAGGACCGGAGCACGGGGAAGACGATTGGAAGTGAGCATGAAGTGGATTGACAAGCCAGATTGACTCTTGTTCCAATGAGAAAATGAGTCTTTTGAAATTATGGCATTGTCGCCTTGGTCATATGTCAATTCTGTCAAGTTTTTGTTTCTGAACTTGTTTGATTCCGTGTCCAAATCGAATTTTGAATGTGAAGTTTGTCATTTATCCAAACAATGTAGAAACACATATTTTGCATGCAGTAAAATAAGTATTGTTGCTTTTCATTTGATCCATATTGATGTTTGGGGCCCACACGCTGTCCCCTGTATGGGGAGTACAGATATTTCATTCTCTTCGTTGATGACTATAGTCGGTATACATGGCTTTACTTGATGAAAAGTAGAGATGAAGTTCCTATGATTGTTCAAAACTTCTTGAATATGGTCGAGACATAGTTTGATAAAAGAGTTACGATAATAAGGTTTGGCAATGACAAGGAATACTTTGAACATCACTTGCATAGGTTTCTTGAAAACAAGGGCACTATTCACCAAAGTTCATGTAGTCATACTCCACAACAAAATGGGATGGCTGAAAGAAAAAAAAACAAGCATGTGGTTGAAGTTGCTCGAGGCTTATTGTTCCAAACTCATGTTCCAACTCTTTTCTGGGGTGATGCTATTGAGACAACTGTATATCTCATTAACAGACTCCCATCAAGGGTCCTTAACCTTCATTCTCCTCATCAACTACTCTTCCCTGATTAACCTCCTTTTAATCTACCCTTTAAGGTCTTTGGTTGTGTTTGTTTTGTTCATGATATGAGTCATTCCCGACGCAAGTTTGATCCTAAATCCGTTAAGTGTGTATTCCTTGGTTACTCTCCGTCCAGAAAGGCTATAGATGCTTTGATGCTCTCTTTGGAAAGAGATATGTCTCTAAGGATATTACCTTTTTGGAATCCTCTTCCTTTTTTCAGTCATCCCGTCTCCTTCTCTTCAGGGGGAGAATGCAAGTGAAGATCAGACTCACTTTTGCCTTCCTATTCCTACCTCTATTTCTCCCTCTCTTCCTACCTCTATTCCTTCTCCTCCTCCTCCTCCTCCTGTGTATCGACCTCGGTCCTGATAGCAGTTTTTCATCAGGTGCAATAAGAGGGTGGCTCATGAAGCAAAATGTCCATCACAATCTTATTCCCCAGACTCAGGTAATCTTGAACCTCTTAACAATCATATTATTGATTCTGACCTTGATCTTCCTATTGCCATTCGAAAAGGGAAGAGGACATGTAGCAAGTATCCTATCACTAATTATGTGTCTTATGATTCTCTCTCCCCTTCCTATTGTGCCTATATTTCTGCTATCTCTTCTGTTTCCATCCCTCGTAGTGTTACAGAGGCAATGCAGTGCCCCAATTGGAAGGAAACTATGAACCAAGAAATGAAGGCCCTAATAAAGAACCAGACTTGGGAGGTTGTTTCTTGCCCTAAAGATAAGATTCCTGTTGGGTGTAAGTGGGTTTATGCTGTTAAGCACAAGGCAAATGGCTCAATTGAAAGATACAAAGCTCGGCTTGTAGCCAAAGGATACACTCAGACTTATGGCATTGATTATTTGGAAACCTTTGCTCTAGTTGCTAAAATGAACTCTGTTCGTGCGATCATGTCTCTTGCAGCCCATTACTCGTGGCCTTTATATCAAATGGATGTAAAGAAAGCCTTCCTCAATGGGGACTTACAAGAGGAAGTGTATATGAACTTACCACCTGGGGTAAGTTTCCTCAACAGTGATGGAAAAGTGTGCCGCTTGAAGAAGTCTTTGTATGGGCTAAAACAGTCTCCAAG